TTAATTATTTTTAGTTGTAACAACTGGGGTTCCATTGCTTATATAACCGTAACATAAGGCTTTATAGCTTTTACAAAGTAAGGAAACTGATCTACGTTTATATAATTTATGTGTTTAATTTATATGACAGTTGGCAGTATTGCCTTTTAAAAGAAGAAATTAATAAAGAAAATGGAAATCCCACGGTAAAGATTTCCCTCGAGAAATTAAAGATGTACGTTTCCTACAATTAAAACAAAAATGGATGCGTTTTAAGAATTAATATAGGAAAGAAAGGACTAATAATGCAAAATGAATGTGAAATTTTATCAGTCCTTTTTACATTCTTGTGACATGATACTTTACAAGAGACTAGCTTTTGCGCGCGAATCCGTTGGCGTGGAATTAAAAAAAAAACAATAGCATGTATGTATTCTTCCAGATTATCGACTACATCTATGCCAAATTTCATCAAGATCCGCTTAGCAGTTTAGGCTACAAACTCTAATAATCTAAATCTAAATTTTCGCATTTATAATATTAGTAAGATTGGCTGAAACAAGATACAACATTTCTCTTAAATTTAATAGAAATTCAATTTATCCAGCAAGAAATAGGGATCGCAACTACAAAGTAATTTAAAAGAACTGTAGCCGCTGTCCGAGGGGAAACTTCCAGAAATAAATCTAACAATTGATTATGTTACTGAGAAAAGGATTAAAGTTCCTTAAAACTATAGATTGAATTCTCCTGCGTGCGTCCTTTTTATGTAGTTAGAAAAACTTATCCCATTCAAAACTGTTGCTTATTGTATGAAAATTTCTATACGCTTCGTTTATTTACACAAAACTAATTTATATCACTAACAAATTATAACCTTTTACATTATTCTATACGCTTCGTTCTATATTATTTAAGCTTTTACTAGCTTTCGGCCGCGACTCCGTCCGCGTGAAATTAAACAATAAACAAAGGTAAGTAACCTATGTGTTCTTGCAGATTATCTACAGAGATCCGTTCAGCAGTTAAGGCTACAAACTCTAACAAACATCTATCTAAACTTTCGCATTAATAATATTAGCAAGAAGTAAGTTATCCTGCTGTATGCTTCGTCTTTGCTATGCTTGTATACATGGATTTTATTCCGCTGTGTTTGATGTTACGTCAAGTAAATTATAAATTATTACGAAAAGCTTTTTGTATGTGACGTGATAGTGCTTCTCTCCTAACAGTGTTATACTCATTATTCTTTAAACATAATGGAATTAGCTAATGGAGAGGACCACTAATGCTACTCAAGAAGCTCTGATTCATTTATGTTTACCTTTCGTATAGTTCTTAGAATCATAGTGTTTAAGAAACACTATCTATATCTATCTACCTATTATTTCTATTACTATTATAAAGAGAAAAGTTTTTTTTGTTTTTGGATTTTTGTACGTAATGAAATAGCTGAATAACTACTGGGCCCCTTTTAAAAAACTAGAAAGGAAATTTATCTGTGATTAACACAGACTATATTTTTTTTTATTTACTGGTTTCATGCGGTCGAAGTCGCTTGCAACAGCTAGTTTCTAAGTACAATAATTTTAAGTGATGCTACCGTTATTAAGTTACTATGGATTTTATTTTTATTATGTTAAAGGTTGTGGAAGGTTACAATCTTTCGATACAATATCTTTTAAAATAACATTTTTTTCTACATAATTATGACAACAAATTTGTTTGTATGTAAAAAGAAATGTTTACTTCATTTTCCGAAAAGTTTTTGGAAATACTGTGAGCTATTAACTTATTTCGACACATTAACACAATCTTGTTCAACAAAAACTTGCAAATCAGCCCAAAGTCTACGCAACATAAATTACTTTTTCTTTTAGTCTCTGAATATTCTTTTGTTTTAATTACTTGCTTCATTGAACCTTTAACAGGCGAGCTTTTAGAATAAAATAGACTCAATTACAACGCTGATTCTTTATATTCAATCATACTAATATTATAAATGCGAAAGTTTAGATGGATGGATGTTTGTTAGAGTTTGTAGCCTAAACGGCTGAACGGATTTCGGTGAAATTTGGCAAAGACGTAGAGGATAGTCTGGAAGAACACATAGGCTTACTCAGTTTTGTTTTTTTTTTAATTCCACGCGGACGGAGTCGCGGGCGAAAGCTAGTATTCAATAAAGAATATTAATATCATACAACAATACTAGCTTTCGCTCGCGACTCCGTCCGCGTGGAACTTATTAAAACAAATTCAAGTAGCCTATGTGTTCTTCCTATATCTATGCCAAATTTTATAGAAATCCGTTCAGCCGTTTAGGCTACAAACTCTATCAAACATCCATCCATCTAAACTTTCGTATTTATAATATTAATATGAAGTATGATGTGATGTCAACGTGAAAATATATTCTTACAATGTTCTAGTGCTCGTGGAAAGGAAATTTACATTTTTAAATTATTTCGATGAGCAAATTTGTGGAGTATCAAAAAATTGATGGAATTACCTATTACGGTGTCATTTCCCCTTGATTAAAGTTTGCTTTGAAGATTTGAATTTAGATTGAATTTTTACGTCACCTACAAATTCGCGTGACTTGGATGAAATTTAAATATCAAAAGGGATATTAAAAGGTTTTCAATTTTTTGTATTATCGACTTTTACTATTATTGACGTTTATCGGACATTAGGATTGACTGAAATTACATACCGATTTATCGACTTAAAGATGTCAATTAGAATTATATTATATCCCTTGCCAACGGAAACATTTAAAACGCAACTAATTTTTATATTTAAAAATAAATTTCATCACTATCTCACACTCACGCTCGGACCTTACTCTAAGTTAGGAACCACGCTGGCCTAGAGCTGGTTGGTTGACTACAAACAATATCTCTGAATTTCTTCATAAATGTGCTGGTTGCTTCATGTTTTTATTCTCTGTTAGAAACTCCAAATATGATTTTATAAAAGCTCTAAAATCATTTTATATAGGTTTACAAACTAGAGCACAAATGTTTGTTTTCAATCGCATTTGAGCTTAGAGGGTCAAAACTTGTAAGACGTATACGAGCGTATCCCGAATTCACAATATAAACTCTCGATTCTATACACAATCTTTTACAATAACAAGATCCTCATTTGTTTTGTATTTGCGGATTACGTGCGAACTTCACATAAGGGTGGGAATACAAGCTACTGGCGTACACATGCCAGTAAAACGAGACTAGACGTGTCAGTGTAAACCATGATACACCCCTCGACTTTAACCTCAACTTCCCAAAATCAAATATCGTGTTTGATGTTTGTCAGTACATAATAGCTGGCACATGCTAGTAGCTTGCATGCAAGTATGCCAGCTACTATCAGTCAAACAGTATCTTGAGTATATAAAGCCTAAAGCAAACTCGTACCTAAATACATCAAACTTCGTGAATTTAAGGTAGTAATAAAGCAACGTAAAGAAAATAAACTTGAAAAGAAACCCCTTGATAGAGTTGTAAACAGAACTAACGAACAAACAAAAAAGCGAAGTTCAAACATCGTCAAAGTAAAGGAGCATGTTCACGGAAAATTCTACACTAACACAAATATAGATAAACCGTCAAATGAGGAACAAACAGACAAAAATGCTTAGTACATTTGATACCAGAAATATTTATAAATTGGACTTTAATTTGCTTAGTATTTTAGTAACTTTAGCTTGTAAAAACGTCGACTTATGTTACTGACAATCAAAATTATATTACGCCTAAAACGCATGCTTGTTTTCTAATAAAAATAGCTGTAAATACTATAAAATATTACAATAGGTTCCAAAGCACGTCTTAATATATTATTTATTACGCGCTCGCGAAAGCGGAGAGGATGGATCTCGTAAACGAATTCGCAATCTTCTATGTATTGAATTTATCCGAGGAAATATGAATTTTAAAACTTGTTTCCTCCAAGTAAATCTTCGTTGATCCAATATTTGCTAAACTTATACTGAAGTTTCAGCTCCATATAGCCGTTATTGAAAATCAGAATCAACATTACATTCCTTTTAATTTCACATTAGGTCAAACGTGTCTTACATGTGTTAAATAATACTACTGACAGTACGATAATGTCTTGGGAAGGGAATTTAATTCTTTAACTTTACTCATGAAGACAAAGGAAAAGTGTTCAATCGGTAAACAATGTATCAAGTTTTTCCTTACTTGTAAACTTAACCGTAGATATGTGATGTGAAACATCATTTTGTCACATCTGTGACAGATATTGGTAATGCTATCAAACGTAAACGGCTGTTACGGTATTATACTTTGTAACGTATTGACATCTTAAATATTCCTTTTTGTGTATTCTTTACTTTTAAAGCCTACATCTCTTGCCAAAAAAGATCGATGACCTTGCAGATCAAATTTTCATCTGAAAAGCGATGAATTCATGACAAGGAAATAATGGGAAGAGGATATTTTATAATACAACCAATCTTAATACAAATAAAACTAAATAGCGTAGTAAGTCAAGTATGCGGAAAAACAAACACATAAAAATAAACTTGGAAAGATAAAGAAATGACAGAAGAAATATTACTTATCCATTCAAAGACTACATTAACTTTATAGTTATTACTAACGACTCTACTTTTCATGGCTGTAAAGTCTTAACTTTGATAAATAATCGATTTAATCGTCGGAGAGATTTCCCACAGTTTATCCGAATGTCTTGTAAGATCTAATACCGTTCCTTATGATCTCGAGTGATTTGGAGGGTAAAGATCACTTAAACGCAGTATACGCATAATTACTCTCAGGCGCTCCCTACTTAATTCTTCCTTAATTAATTCCCTCATAAAATGTCGTGTGCTTTATGACACAAACACGCGTGGGGAAAATTACGAGCAATCATTTGCTGTCGTAGTCAACGAGAATCGTAATTATTTAGAGATCTTGCATTTGATATTCCATTTGCTTTCTGTATTTGATGTTTTTCAATACCATAGACGCTTCTTTATCAAGTCGCAGTTTCCTGTAGTTATTATATTTAAGTCGTCTCTCCCCAAAGTCCTTGACTGTAAATAATTTATTTTTTTATAGAATCACACAAATTATACTAAAATTATAAATGCGAAAGTTTAGATGGATAGATGGATGTTTGTTGAAGTCTGTAGCCTGAACGGATTTCTACGAAATTTGGTACAGATGTTGATGATTGTTTGGCAGAACATAGGCTACTCACTTTTTGACCGACTTCCCAAAAGAAGGAGGTACTCAATTCGTCTGTATGTTTTTTTTTTTTTTTTTTTTTTTTTTTTTTTTTT